GACCAGACAAGTACTGTTTTATGGAAAACATTTACTATAAATATGTAAACTGTAGTAAAGGAAAAGCATAAATTAAACTATAAAATAATTTCCAGTCAAAAGATACCATTGAAGGCTGTACGTTGGAGGGTGTTGGCAAGATGACTCACTGGTTAAAGACATTTGCTTCAAAGACTGAAGCTCTGAGCTTGATTCCCAGGATCCCCATGGTGGAAGGAGGGAACTGACTTCTGCAAATTGTCCTCTGACTTTCACATGCATGCCATGGCCCATGTGCCTTGCCTCACTTCCATAGTTAATTTGTTTTATTTTATTATTATTACAGTGGATAGGAATGTAGTTTAAACTGTAGGGTATAGGTACAGATTGAGAAAAATAAAAACAATTAAAAAATTTAGTGTGATGAGTCTCTAAACTACTTACTGCACCACAGGAGCTCAATTTCCATAATGAAAGTTAAGATAAAATAAAATCAGAGAACTCTACAGTGGTTAGCATCTAGGGAGCGACAAGTTGAACAGGGCCAATCAAACAAAACATGAAGATAAACAGCAACAGATCATAGGAATACTGGAGTTAAAGGATAAACTAGAACATACTACAGAGAAATACAAAGCAGACTTATTAAGCAAAATAGACCAGACAAGTACTGTTTTATGGAAAACATTTACTATAAATATGTAAACTGTTAATGGGATAATTTTAGTATATGAAGCAAATCAGAATGGCTAAATAAGTAACTGGCAAAAATCATATTTCTTTTTTTTTTTTAGAAAAACTCAGCAAAATAAAATTCTGGTTTATTGTTGGATGTTGTTTCACACATACATCAAACATGCCAAAAAATATAAAAATAAAAATAAAACAGCAACTTCATAGACAAAAAAAAAAAGGAAAGAAAAAAAGAATCCTTTTATCGTTGGCCTTTTTAACCATCTCCTACAAACCAATTACTTATAGTACAGCTAGGTATTTACACAAAATAAGTTACTGGAATGCTCAGAATAAGATTGTTTTAGTTTTTTTCTTCTTTGAGATTATAATGAACATGGTTACACCACCAGTAAGGTCAGATAGAGAACAGAGAACGCTTTGAAGCCTGGTTTGGTCACCCATTATCATTAAAAAATGGCTGACCCCCAACAATATGTACAAAAATATAAAATGTAAATAAAAATACAAACGAATTTTCCTTTTAAAGTGTTTTTAAGAAAAAAAAGCAGAGCCTTGGAAGGTTTTTTTTTTTTTTTTTTCTTT